GACAAATTCTAAGTCCAAATTATTAATTTGAAAGATGGTATGGCGTGGAGGTGATTATAATAGCTATCTAAAATCACGTATGATAAAAGGGCTGATCGGGGCTATGTTATATAGTGAGATTATCCCTCTACTTGACTTGTTTTAATGACAAAAGTTCGTTGATCGTTTAAGTAGTAGCCAGTTTGTGAGGGTTCGATTCGTATATACAAGCTTTATCTATTGAATAATATAATAAATAAATATTAAACTCGCACGTGTTCAAACCAACAGTTCATTGCCTTGATGATTTGCCTTCATTGTTTATGATGAGAACATAATTTATTATAGAAGTTAATAATATACAACTGTTCATATTTGAATCTTGAATCATGTATTTTGTAGCTTTAAAAACTTAAATCATTACACCAAGTTTTCCAGAATAAATACTATAAATATTTAATATTTTTAATATTTTGTTATTTTTAGTTGCTATAAATCCAGACATTTTAGTTACACTTAATGTCGTATGTACTCTTGAGTCTTGTTCAATCAATGTATGATGAATGAATATGTAATAAATGGAAATACTATAGTAGTTCTAGACATGGGCGTAGCGAGTATGGGGCAGGGGTGGGCAAGTGCCCCCCCCCCTGCACTACAAACTAAATTGTATTTCTTATATCACACGTGTAAGTTTTACGTTAAAATTGAAATATTAAATATGATATAAGTACATGAAGTCTAAAAATAGTTTAGTGGGACCGAGTGATATCTACACGTGTAATCGTTTTATATTTTATCGATTAGTCTATCTAAAGATTATTTGAATTATGAGTTAAACGCTAATCGTTATGTGCTTTATACATTAATATCAACAGCGATAGTGTCAACAAGCAAGTGCAGCAGACAGCAGTACGTGCCGTTCTGTGTTCGCGTAAGTAACGAATATAATATATAACGTTTACATTTAATATTATTTTACACGATGGACATAAGAAAGTTATTTGGTGGTAAGTACATATCTTGTTTTAGAATTATAAATAGTTACAAAGTAAAATAAATAAGTACAAAGTCTTTTACTTATATAATATATACACTATGTATTGTGACCGCCGCCTGCCGCAACTATGATATATTAAGAGGACGCTATACCCGCATGCGTTGTCTTCGTCTTACAAGCATACAATATAGCGAAAAACTGTTTTGGTATTTATAGTAGAATTACCAAAATTCCACAATACATAGGAAACAACTTTTTCTGTGTCATAGCGCATATTTTATGTTTATAATTTATTATTAATAAATTATCAACAACTAACAAATTTTTAATGCATTATTTCATAAGTCTTCGTAATTTTTAAGGTCGAGAAAAGAGAAAATTGCCAGAAATAAGTAGTAGCGGAAGTGATGAACATGAAGGAATATATAAAATTCCCAAATCCTCCAACGAACCTTCCACTTCTTATGATCGCAATACTAGAAATGCAGATCCTTCAACTTCTAAAAAGCTTACAAATGAAGAACGTTTTGAAAATGACATAGGTCAATGGGTGGGACGGTCTAATCATTTAACAACATCTCAAAAAATGGATATCTTGAAACGTTGTTGGACGCCACCAGAAAATTACAACTTTAGTGAGGATGCTATTGCTGTTGGATCAAAGAGAAAATTTAACCATAGTTGGTTACAGGCCTATGCTCCTTGGCTTGCGTATTCGAAAATACTGAAAGGAGCTCTTTGTTTGTACTGTGTTCTGTTTCCACCGAAAAAAGTCCAAGGTGTTTTAGGTTCATTTATCATCAAACCTTTTACACGATACAAAGACATTCACGAGGGCTGTAGAAACCATATTTCCAATAATTGGCACCAAGGAGCAACCGAAGCAGCTAAAAGTTTTATGGAAGAAGTACCTATAAATATTATGATGGTATCCGGACACCAAAAAGTACTTCTAAGTTTTCTATGACTTAATTCAAATGCGAATTGAAGCTGGTGATCAGTATCTCCAAAACCATATCGAAAAGGGCAAGCGAAATGCCATCTACACATCTCCGCAAATTCAGAATGAAATCATCAATATAAGTGGAACAGTAATCAAAGATTGTATTATTAATGATGTTAAAAAGGCTGTAGCTTTCAGTATAATGGCAGACGAGACCGCTGATATCTCAGGAACAGAGCAATTGTCTATTGGGATTAGATTTTTTGATGATGAGAAAAGGGCTATCAGAGAAGAATTTTTAGGACTAGAACTTCTAGAAAATAGTAGGTAATATAAATGTTAGGTGAAAATTTACGATTATGTTTTTTAGAGTTACACCGAGAAAGAATATCAATTTTATCAATTCTGGTTCAGCCTAAAAATTTCCGATTTTCCGTACCTAATTTTTTGGGTTTTTTTCGAAGAATTTTAAAACTCTTGAAATTCTAAATATTGAGCTCCTGAAAGTAAATTCCTATCAGAAAAGATACTGAAGTTGAAAATTGAAGCGTTATTTCGATTACTTGTCTTGTACAAATACACAAAAAATTTACAATTTTACTATAATATTTAGTTATACATAATACATATAATACATTTAGTATTTTTATTGTATACATTAAATGATGGTTATGGGCTATGGACCTGAAGCTCTGTTTTAATTGTTTGTATGTGTAGGTACTTTTTTTGTTCACTTAAAAGGTTGTTAATTTTAGGTATTATATACCTATTGTATCTAGACATATAATATATATAATATATGAAGTGAAATGTGTTTTAATAAATGCATTAACCGAGTATATATTTTTTATCATACGTAATACGATAATAAAATTACGTTATTCTGGTACCTAGTTTGAACCTATTTTGAACGAAATTAAAACCCCATATGCTTGTGAAGCTGTACAATATTACTACATTGTTCCAAAATGCTTATAATGCGTATGATTTAATGCTTAAACATATTTTCTGACCTAGTATAATTATTGTTTGTACCTTGTACCATTATAGTTTATTATAATATAAATTTGAATGTAGGTACGCGTACACAAATATTATGTTCACGCATTCTAGTTTGTGGTTAATGGTTACACAAAAAATTACATTTTTAACTCATGGAAACTTTAAACAAATACCATAATATTATAAATGCATTTTAGATTCTGAGTGAAACGATGAATGTATTGATTTTACAATGATGTGTGTTTTTTTTTTTTTTTTTTTTTGTGTCTGTGTACACGATACGTAGTCGAAATAATGCTTCGATTTTCGACTTCAGTATCTTGTTCGATTGGAAAGTGAATATCGTTGGTGCATTGGGGAGGTCAAAATTTAAATTTCCCAGTAGTTTTAAAAAGCGCCGGGAAAAACAAAAGAAAAATTACGGAAAAACGGGAATTTTTACGCAAAATCGGTTTTCCAAAAAATCGATTTTGGGTTTTTGGTGTAACTCTAAAAGAAATGAACGTATACATGAAATTTTCACTGGTTGTTTATATTTGCATTTTCTATACACGATAACATTTTCAAAATATTTTGATTTATTTTGAACTGTTTAGGGACATTTTCATTTTTTTTAGTTTTTTTTCTAGAAATATCAATAAAAATTTATTTGTTGGTTAAAAAAACTTGAAAATTTAATAGAAGGCTCCTAGTATATTGTTTCAAAGGCAGATGAAAAATATTAAAAATCGTTAGTCACAGTTTTTTTTTATAAGCATTTAAAGTTCAAAAATTGACAAAATATGGAAAAATCACGAAAATTAGCAAATTATTTTGAGTTAAGAATTCGTAAAAATTTTTCTTTTTAAATCTAAGATTTGAAAATGAAACACAAGATTTCTTATAAGATTATCTACCTTTATCAATAAAAAAATCTCTACCGGACAGTCAAATTAAATTTTTATGAGCGTTTGAAATTCAAATTTTTACAACATTGGATGTTCACTCGATTTCTCATGTAGCGATTTCCTTATTTTGTTGTAATTCAAAAACGAATAACTGTAGATACATGAAAATTTCACTGAATGTTTATATTATCATTTCCTATACACCATACAATTTTGAAAATATTTTGACTCTTTTTGAGCAGTTTACGGACATTGTCAGTTTTCAATTTTTTTAGTTTTTTTTTTTCTATAAATATCAATAAAGTTTTATCTGTTGGGCCAAAAAGTGTAAAAATTGAATACAAGGCTCCTGATACATTGTTACAATAGCAATTGAAAAATATTAAAAATACATAGGCACAATTTTTTTTTATAAGCATTTAAAGATCGCATTTTGACAAAATTTATCAAAATCTCGAAAATTATCAATCGTCGTAATTAATAAATTATAAAATGTTCAGTTTTTATAGCTAAGGATTGAAAATTTAAAACAAAGGTTCTTATAAACAGTTCATACTGTAACCAAAAATTCCAAAAAATATATGAACACACTTATTTTTTACAGACATTTTAAATTCAAATTTGGACGAAATTACATATTAAAAAACCTAGAATAACTATTTTAGTTATTTTGTTGTGATTGAATAATATTATTCGTGGGTACTTGAAACTTCTAAAGTGTTCTATTATAATATACCTATGATAGTATCACGGTTTTTGTTGATGTATAACGCGTTATAAGTATTGTAACGGGCTGTGACTACGTACATATTAATATATTATAATAGTAATAATATTTAAAATATTATATTATATTATGCTGTATTAAGTATAATACGCTTATAATATAATATATTATATTCAATAACAGATATAAATGCTGCAAGGGGCACGTAACCCGATAATAGTAATAATATAAGCGTCCGGGCAGCCACATCGATAAGAGCACAGAACTAATTAATGGTACAGGCGTACAGCGCGAACCTTGATAGGTATACGCGCACATTATTCATATTCTAGGAAAGACGAAAAAGCCGTAAACAACAAAAATAGATAACTTTGAAACATATAATTCCCAATTAACATTATTTCGTAGAGGACGCCGAAATGACGTCAGGTGTACGCGGCTATGTACCATTTTTATACTAAAATGCCATAGGAGGGATCTAATAGGAAAACCGACGAAATACGTCGATGGACAAGGGTCCATCAGACGAACACCAGCCGAGACGACGAGCACTATAGCAGAACAGCCACGAAGTCGATACTAAGTCACATCCCGTTTACCACATTTTTATAATTTAATTATTTGGACTTAGACTATTTTACGTGTTAAATAAATACAACTGAACTATCATTACAAAATCAACTTGATATTTAATTCAAATACCATCATTATTGAGTTGAAGTGGTTGGTACGTTACAGTATCTAATGGATATTGTGATATGATTAATTTGGAATTTATTATAGGTACCTATTATAGGTCATTTTTTGGTTTAATACCATAGATATGTATATAATATGTCTTATACATAGACTGACATACCGTCACCGCTCAGAATCGTTTTTCTTATACAATTATATTATATCATTGAATTCAAATTTAATACTATCCATTATACAGTGACCCACTTGTAACCTACTGTACAGCAGAGCGACACCCACTTGCCCACCTTTTTTATTTTATATTGACAACGTTTTTATTATTTCGTTTTTTGTAGCCATAATTATGAACAATCATATTTTAAAATACAATAAACTAACGATAACTTAACAAAAAAATAATGACTTTGTTTTATCGATATTTTTATTGCAGTAAGAAATCACTTATGACGAATAATGTTCCTGGAGGCTAGAATATATAGGTAAGCTCTTATAATACGTATTTTAATTAGGCTAAAATTTGAAATGTTTGAATGGGTGGTGATGGTGGGACGTTCGTAATTTTATAATACACCTTATTTTAAATGTGAGCGCTCCGATGAATGTATTGATTATATAATGAAGAGTGTTTTTTTTTAAATTCTTAAATTTATTGTGTCTGTGGTTGAAAAAATACTTCAATTTTGTGGATAATTCCTAGTAGTTTTCAAAAGTGAAACAAAAAATAAATTGAAATTCTTACGCAAAATCAGTCTTCGACAAAATTAATTTTGGTTTATGGTGTAACTCTTAAAAAGATACTGTAGAATGTAGATGCCTACATGCATTTTTCACTGAATGTT